GAAGGAGAAAAGAATGAATGTTTGCGGATTCAGAAAAGTCCTCTTGGGTGTAGTCAAATAAAAGTGACAAGGACCTTTTTTGACTTAATACTCGAATAGGGCTGATAATATTTTCACCATTTGGACCAAAGATTGTCAGCCTAGGTAATGCATAATCTGATGAATAGCTACAATATCTTCGTAGCAAATTAGGTAGCTGTATGCAATAAATTGTGCTTTTGTATAATTTTGACTAAAACGAGGTTTAATTTCTCGCAAATTAAATGATAATGGAAGTTTTTGTGCGTGCATAAATTGATAAGAACTATAGTGTCCATTAATTATTCCGAGAAATTTATCGAAACCATACTGCAATAGATAACCTTGGGAAATGTTGAATGGAAATACGTCTGATTTCAATCGAGAACCCAGACACTTCTCAAGAGAAGTCCTGTTGCACGTTGATGGTTGTGTAGGCTATCAAGTGGCCAGCAAATATATCAGCTAATATTGATGATCGGGGGCTAGCGTCTGAAAATTGACGTCAAGTTCCAATAAGGCAGTCTTGAATCTTGATCATGTAGATGAACAGAGGTAAGGGGGTGCTTGTTACTTGAACAGCATTAGGATAAATATTCTTTCATGGTGGGGTCTTTTTGGACATTATAAGTACACTTTCACAGCGTCACCTGATCGTAATATTAATCCACGAGCTGAGAAGATCCGAAGCCTATAGGATAAACTAGCAAATATAAGAGCGGTCTCATAAGATATTTAGTAAATGCTAATTTCCATCGCATCAGATGTAATATTTATCCTAATCGATCTTAGACTGAGTTCGAGCTTCGCTCTCCTACATTTGTTCAACTATTATTTAGTGAAAGAATATAGGGGAATATAATTTATTTATTGTGAACAAGACCTTTCGGAGATCCATGTTATAGTAAAAATTTAAATGAGATTATTCTATTCGTGCTACAACCAAATCCTTCAATATTTTATTGGAGAGACCTTCATTTCGTATGAAATAGATAAAGGCAGTCGTAGGTTGATCTCATCAGAAGACGACTGAATCCCGTTATACTGCAGCCGTTTGACTTTTATACGACGTTCAGGATGACGCAGTCCACGAGACATCCTCCTTCGCTTCGGGTGAATACTGACTGAACTTTTGTCCACCATATGGTGGACATCATCAGAGCTGGAACTCATTCTTGTAAGAATCAAGTTAACACTAGGGCTAGAAGACTATCCGGTTTTATCTTACTTCTTATATAAACTCAGTTAAGCAAATACAATTAAGAGGCCTGAATATATATAGAATGGTTTGGCTAATTATATTTCGTATTGATCTTGCTACATTTTCTCGAGTGTGTCTATCTGTGTATGTTTTGTTAGCATCAATACGCAATACTGGTCCTAAATCAAAGTGATCAAAAAAGCTAATGTCAGCCTCTGGTCATCAAGGCTTAATGACCCTAGAAAAAGCAATGAACGAGACTGTGTCAGTTCGTATGGAAGTATAGTTGAGATAATGAGATGAAAGCTTGTAAGTTAGGAAGCCACCTGTCATAACCTTGCTGTCATGCCTACCTTCTAAGGAAGTGGGGAGTGTTTACAGAAACCCTCATACTTTCTTCTGTTATGCTACCTTTTAAAGAAAAATGTGATCCATTATTGAGATCCGGCTACCAGACTGTGTTTCTGTGGCCGACATTATGTAGGTGAGACATGCTTGTCTATTCTACAAAGATTGGGGATCAGAAGTGACATGAGATAGAATGGTCTAAAACCAATAGGCTTGCTGATTACGGTACGTCTGCTGTTAAAGGGAAGATAAGAGATGCTATTGAAATTAATAGATTAAGGAATACGCTAAATATGGGGAATGGTGGTATAAAGTTGAGAAATAACTACTTATTATATGCAAAGAAAAGTTGAGTCTCGAGGAATCTCTTGTTTCATAAATGTTGAGCTTACTTCAAATTTCGAGCAAAAGTGTTTGGTGATTAGATTCGAAATTCGATCCCGCCAGAAGACGGCGGAGGATTCCCCTTGACCAACTGTCGATTAGCTTGAGGCTGTTACCGAGGTAATCTCTTTCGATTACGGTAAAAGCGTCCCAAGCCTCCGTCCGTCGTATGATGAACATCATCAGAGCAGGGTATCATCCTTACAACCAAATTCAAATATACGAATCAAGAACTACCCATGCTTGATTGATGTAATAGTACCAAGTCCATAGTTTAATGCTGCGAATTATGATAACTACTATGGCACATGACTTCAGACAAGGTGTGTTCTACTAAGTCGCCCTGACAACAAAATCAAGTTGCGAAAACGAGGTAAACCCACTTCGAAAGCGTTTAAGTTGTACCCATTAAGGTAAGGATATTAAGGAGATAAAAAAATATATGATTTCTTTTAATGATAAATTTTCCTGTGACCCAAAGACCTAAGAAGCAACATCAAATACTCTACGTTGGCTTCAAACTTCCTTTAGTTAATAGGTAAATATGGGAGCAATGTTAAAACCCAGCCCGTTTATCTTGTTTTGAGATGTATCTCAACATGCATCCATTTTCAGCAAATTGAAATAGCTGCTATCATCTCAGTACTTACGGGTTAGACATCAGATATAAATCAGGCGTTCTGAGTGGTGACGCCTATGTAACATGCGAAAAGTATTGAAGAAATTAGATCTATGTTGTACACTTTAGTGGTCAAAAGAGTGAAACCAATCAAAGAAGCCGGCAAAATGTTTAGATAGAGGCCTATAATAAGCAGAGAGGCTCAATTAGGGCAAATTTTAGTACATAATTCCAGATTGCTGTATATTTTATGAAATTAAAGAAATGTATGCGTGTATGGTTGAAGATGACTAAATGGTGGACCTGATGTTGAAGTCGCATTTGAATTATGATATTTGATCATGATTGGTGCATGTTAATGGGGATACGTGTTGAGCATGGTGCCAATTTCGAATATCCAAGGCGAGTGATGTTTAAGCATAAAAGCCATTCGGTATTTCCGAATAACTAACAGGAAGTAAACAACTTTATAATATGCTTATAAATGTCCTGTCTTAAAATAATGCATACGCTTACATAAGGTACGAGGGTCGTGACGGACGCAGGATTTTGTTTGTTGGCCAGATCGTCTACCAGAGTGGTGAGATGAGTCTAAAGGGAAAAGGTTGAATAAAACGAAATAAAAAAGGCGGAAAACAGAAAAAAACTAGATTGGATTAAAAGATATTTGGTATCTTTTAAAGCAATTCCTGAAGGAGACATAATAATTAAAGAAAGAACTCCGGATAAAATGTGATTGAAACTTCTGTACCCATCGATTTGAGAGGACTACATTAGTATTTTAGGGAAAATTAAATATTGTCATACATTGATTGCCTCGCAGAGACGCTCGCTGAAGGTGCTAGGAAAAAGTTGGGCGCAATAAGCCAATTGACGCGCAGTGGCTGGACGCATAGAGCTGGTGGGCTGGCGAACGTTCTGAAGAATCGGTTTCACATTAGCATGACGCAGTTCAATGTCAATAGAACAGTGTGACACAAACTCTTGAAGACAAGCGAAGGCGGTTTCATGTACAATTGGATGCTCGGAACAGATGCCTATAAAGGATCAGGAAATAAAAATAATATGATACAAATAATGTATAATGTAATATATAAATTAAATATGATAAAATTAGTCCAGAATTGATTACGCGAAAACAAAATCGCTTGTGTCCAAAAGTTAGAGCTCGCTGGACATACGGCTAATATAAGAAACTCAAAAGACCGGTTTAAAACACAAAGTTTTGCTGGTTACTGGGACTCCACATAAAAGCGCAGGAAATGATAAAACAAACAAGATCCAGAATAGGAGGAACGAGTGTAGGAAATCGAGTAGGAACTATATGTGTTAGTTGGATAGGCTTAAGGTGGGAAAGAGCAGGCAGAGCCACTGAGCGGAAGCTAAATTAACCTTGGCTAATTAACAGCTGTACCCCGAATCTATTTCTGTCCATGAACTAACCTCACTCCTCTGCAAATAAGTAGAGTAAATTTAAGCTAGCCAGAAATATCATGGGATGCTTCATTATGATCTCAAGGTTAAGTATATAAAAAGTGACTAGGGTTGCAGCTGGATACGTGTTCTTTCTAATTACTGTATTTTTTGTACTATTTACGAGTGTATATACTTACTCTGATGATGTCTATTAGAGTACAGACGAAAGCTTAGAATGGATTCATCCGGGCGCAGGACGGTGAGCTGAAAGCTCCTCCGTACAATCCAACAGTCTTCACCTTGAAACCAAATTTTTCTTAGAAATGGAAAGTAATGCCACAATAAATAAACAAAGAATTTTTTAGGACCCAGATTTCTCCATTCCGCAACAATTTGATTGAAAGGTTTTAGCTAAAATGAGAAAAATATTGAGTACCCGGAGCCTGGGGATAACGCCACTATGACAGTGTCAAAATACAAATTGAATTAGTAAAGAAGTTGTTTGACCTTGTTCTCGCAACTT